AATCCTAGCGACAGCGATTTGCAAGGAGGTGACGAGCCGCGAGGGGTTGTGTCCCGCGCGGTTTCATGGACAGAGGAGACGCTCTGCGGAGGGAAGCCGGGCGGCCGGGTGCACCCGGGCGGCTGCCGCAGGGCGGGACGCGACCCGCGCCCCTCGGGCATCCACTGGCCATCCAGCGGGCTCTCTGGTTGCAGGCCCCCTGTCCTCCCGCAGCTCCAGCTGCTCTCGCTTGCCCCTCCCCCGGTCCCAAGCCGAGGCGCGCGGGTTGGGGGGTATGCAGGACACAGCTAAAGAAGATATTAGAAACAGCAGCGCTTTAGGATCGAGCACCGTTATTGGTCGCAACAAGTGACAGCGCCCCCAGCCTCCTAGCGCTTGTGATGCAGCGGCTTTTCCACCCGGATCCCTCCCGGCGCAGCAGCGGGACTTTATCCAGCTGCCGGCCAGGGAAGTGAAAGCTGCCGGTGCTGGCGGGCGGTGGGGCCTCTGATGCTCGGATCCGGGCGCCGACGCCCAGACATTGAAGGATCCCACTGCCCCGGGACGCCGCTCCGGCGTGTTTTGGGGCCCCGGGGTTGGCCCCTTCGCACGCCAGACGATGCGCACCCGGGTCCGCTCGCTTTCCAGGGGAGGGTCCTGGGGTTATGATCGCGGTTCTAGGGGACTTTCCCGGGGGCGCGGTGGCCTCTCGGGACAGCAGAGCCTGAGGGCGGGGGCACAAATTCGAAGTTAGACAAAGATGTAAAATCAGCAGAAACCAGTCTCCGGTGCGAGTAGCCACTAGCAACCCTGGAGAAGCGCCGGGGCGACGCTGCCTCAGGGGTGAAGGGGGTGCTGCGTCCGGGGATGGGGCCGGGGGGTGGAGGGAGGATGTGGCGGAGGCGGGACCCGGGTCCCCTCACTCTGCCCGGACACTCTGTGTGGCGTTCTCCGGATCTCAGTGATCACACTTCGTTGGGGAGCAGGACAACACGTTGTGCCACCTCTCCGGGCCGACGTACGCCTCTGCCCCGCCACACTTGTGAACTACTTGCTTCCTTTATGGCGAAGGAAGAAAATCTTATTTTTTGTGGGCACAAGACTTCGGTGACTCTCGTCTGAATTCAGTTCTCGGGAAAGTGACGCCGGGACCCTTAGTTAGCTCAGCAACAGCAGACGGGTCCGCTCAGCCGCGGTCACCGCTGAGCGCCAGGCACAGCTTAGCTTTCGCGCTGCTGGACACGTATGGTGGTGCTTGGGGTTTGGGCTTGAGGGAGACAGTCCGAGATCGCTGCGCTCCATCCTCCCTTTCATTCACTGCCGGCGTTTACGTCTCTGAACCACGGGATCGCGACCTCCTGACATGGATGCGCTGCTCCACATGGCCTTTATACACAGGGTCCATTTCGCTCGCGATTCTTCTGTTGTCTGCCTTATTTCCATCTGTGCTGAATGCCACGCTTCAGCCCAGGTGTTGAAGTTGTGATTATTACTGCAGCCCAAACAAACAAACAAACAAAACGTACAAGAGGCATGGGCAGCCTCTCTGCAGCCCTTCGACTGGGAGAGCTTTTTAGGTTATGGGTGCTCACTACGTTGGGAGAGGGTTGGATCTCAGTCAGTCCACTAGCTCACGTCCGAGAGCCCGGTAGGGACACCCGCCTGCCCCCGACAGGTGGGCACTGAAGAACGTGTTTGTGAATGGCCCACTGTGCCAACTTTCCAGGAACACTACTGGAAAGCACTACACTGAAAACACGTGCTTCCGGTTCTCCGGGGAGCTCTTGGTTTTTGTTGCTAAAAGTTGTGGTTACACACTATCGGCTATTTAAAGGACTCTGTTTCTCAAGAGTTGATGTTATTTCTTTGAGAAATGATGAAGTCTGAAGTAGAAGTTCACATTATGTGTATGTGTATGGTGTATTCAAAAGTGTATGTTCAATATATACTCAGATAAAAACTCTGAAAATTAACTTTTTAAAGACATTAGCAAGTAACAGATTTCTACTTCTAGGGACAATTCCAATTGAAAAATGGCTGCTTTGTCATCCTAAATGAATATTATAAAGAAGTGGCTGCACAGACCTAGTTTTGGAATGATTCATTTCTGCCAGCAATTATAATTGCTTCCATTTGTGATACTAACATTAGGTGAAAGATGGGGGCTGATTCAGCTATCTTATCTTTCTCATTTAGTTAAGAATATTTAGCTTATTATTTGAAACCCGCAGTGGCCTGAAACGGAGCACATTTTCTCCACTTTACTGTGTATAATTCTTTCAGAGCTTTTGTTTTTTTAAAAAAAATATATTTTTAGGGGCCAGCCTGTGGCTCACTCGGGAGAGTGCGGTGCTGATAACAACAAGGCCACGGGTTCAGATCCCATATAGGGATGGCTGGTTTGCTCACTGGGTGAGTGTGGTGCTGACAACACCAAGCCAAGGGTTAAGATCCCCTTACCGGTCATCTTTTATATATATATATATATATTTTTTAACCTCATCTCCCACAAAACCATTTTCTAGATAAGATTCTAAAAAAAAAAAAAAATTGAAAATAAATAAATAAACTACTATGTTTAGCAAGGTTAATGGAACAAGAATATAGATCTGAAGGTCAAATCCCTATTTGACCTACTTGTATCAACTATCAAGGGTCTAGATTCAAGCTCATTAACTTTGAAGCTACTCAACAGCTATCAATGACATTGAATAAATTCTGTAGTTCATTCATTCAATAAACATAGGGAGCAAGTATTTTGTGCTGGGTAGTCTGTTAGCCCCAGAGGATTCAAAGATGAACATCGTCTTAGTCTGTAGGGATTCCCAGGTGGGGGGAGGCAACACAACGAAGCTAAGGCCATAGTGGGGTGTTGGGGCAGGAAACAAGCGAGCACCCAGGAGGGCAAATAAATCAGCTTGGGAGGGGTAGCAGAAAAGTCTTCCTAGAGAAGGAAAGATGGTCTTTTTGAAATCTTTATTTATTTCATTATTTTTAATTGTAAAGATGACATATGCTCATTGTCATATACAAAGGGAAAACAAGCTTTATGAATAACAGATGAACATGCTGTCTTTAATGTTCACCATCCCCAGCTCCACTATATAGAGCTCCTTATTGTTTGGTGTGGAACGTTTCAGTCTTTTTTATATATGTATTTATATTCACATCAACTCCCGCTTTTTAAAAGATAACAAAATTAGGATATCATGCACATTTGTCTATGATTAGTTATTTCAAAGAGCATATCGGGTAATCAGCCTTCAAGATAGACCTCAATGATCTTCTTCTTCCTATTCACACCGATGTATTAATTTCACTAATAATGAACCAGAGTTGGTCTGTGTAAGGAACAGAACATAGCATAAATGATGGTATGTCACTCCTGAGATTCAGTTATATAAGACTGAGGCTTCCATCTTGGATTTTCTTTCTTTTATCACTTAGTCTGGGGGAAGCCAAATGCCATGTTGTAAAGACACAGAGACATCCTATGATGGGTAATCGAGGTGTGCTAACAACTACACGAATGACTTTGGAAGCTGATCCTGCAGCCCCAGGTAACAGTTTAACTGCAATGTCATGAGAAAACCTGAGCCACAACTCAGCCAAGCCACTCCTGGTGATAACAAATATGTGTTGTTTTAACCTGCTAAGTTTTGTGGTGATTTGTTACATAGGAGTGGATAACTAATACACATATTAGTAGCAATGTATTTTCTCCATGTTAGGATGCCTTATTCTTTTAAATGACTGTTTATAGAATAACCTCCCTTCTGTAGACAGGCATTTAGGTTTTATCAAACAATGATGTAATGAACACCCTTGGGCATTTATTCTTACATACTTCTGCAAGTATTTTGGGAAGGGGGGAGGCAGGGAATTCTAGAAATGGAACTGCCAGGTTAAAGGGTAATTTAAAATCTTGATTTATTGCCAAACTGCCTTCGAAAAAGGTGAATAACGGGGCTCTCATTTTAACCAATATTGAATATTATCAATATTTTAACTGTCTGCCAAACTGCTAAGCAAAAAAGAAAAAGAAAAAGAAAAGATCTCATTTTAACTTGCATTTCTTTGTCATCAGTGAGACAGAGTCTGAGCCTTTTTGAAGTGTATTAGACACTTGCCTTTCTACTTCTGTAAATTGTCTATTGATATCTTTTGTCCACTTTTATGTTTGGTTATCTTTTTAGTGATTTTAAGAGCTCTTGATAAATTCTGGGTATTAACCATTTGTTATGTTTATTGCACATATATCCTTCCATTATGTCCTCTGTCTTTTAACTTTGCTAATGGTGTGTTTTACTACTTTAATTTTTGTATGTTGTCAATCTTTTCCTTTAGTCATTTCACGTGACTTTTAAGTGATGGGAAAGAATTTGCCAAACCAACAGCAGGGCAGTCCAAGCACATGGTCTATCTTGAGCAAAGATAGAAATGAAAACCTGTATTCTTTCCGCGGGAATCTGTGAGCACTTTGGTGTTGCTGAAGCACCAAGTGTGTGAAGAGAAGCGGTGCTGCAGAGAGGCAGAGACTAGTCCCAGAGGACTTGGGCCGCCTGGTTAGTGAGCTTGAACTTTTTCCTGTAGGCAATCCTGCAAGCAGAGAAGGGTTTTACACTGAAATTGATGTAATCAGATTGCATTTTAAGTCAGTCTCCAGCAGCTTTGTTGAGGAGGATGGCTCTGAGGACACAGAATTATAAACAGACACACTGTTTAGGAAGCTGCTGCAATAGTCCAGAGAAAAGCTAATGATGGCAGGGACTGGGGCAGTAGTGTTTGAGTGGAAGAGATAGAATGGAGAAGTATTTAGGGGACAAAAGGAACAGGACTTAGTGATGCATTTGGTGTGTGTACAGTGAAGGTAGGAATAAGGAAAGGAACAAGGAACAGACCTAAACTGGCTCTATTGGCAACAAATGAAAAAGCATGTGTGGGAGAAGCCAGCTTAGTGAGCAAGATGAGTTTGGTTGGAACAAAATGAATGCAAAGACTTGTGGAATACCCAGGCGGGAACGCAAGAGGTACAGATTTGGGAATATTCAGTATGTATATAAAGGTAAAAAACATTTAAGTGGATTAGCACATCTAAGGAGAGGCCTTTTAAGTAAGAAATAAATGAGTGTTCATTTTTTGGAAGAGCCACATTATTGCTAAGATATATAGTTAAGTGCCAAAGGCAGAAGTGACAATTGGCTCTCAGCCTGGATTTCCCTGGGCATGATGGACCTCGGTAGGGTCACCCCAGAATCAGGCTCAGCTTTGTAGCTCTTTGAACTTGGAAACTCAGTTTTGTCAATTATCTCAGGAATGATCAGGATCTAGTTACCAGAGTTCCACATCTTGACTCTTTCTCATTCGTGCTACTTTGTTATTCCTGAGAAAAAGAGGTTACATGGCAGGACCATGGGTTTGGATTCAGCCACTCCAGACCTCAAATTCTAGTTTCTTTACTTCCTGGTTATTATGACTCCTGAGAACCTTGGCTTCCTTGTCCGGAAAACAGAGAGGGCTACCTTGCTGGGATGTTACAAAGATTAAAAGGGATAACATATGTAAAGCATCTCACACAGTGCCTCCATCACAGATCAGTGACTGTGAGTTCCCTTTTCCTCCATCCACTCTTTAGTGTTGTTCTGTTCACTAAAGAAGCAGGAGAGGCTTGGGGAGGCAGCCAGGATGAAGCTAAGAGCTTAGCAGCCAAGAGACAAATGCTGATTTTCCCAACTTGTAAAGAACGACTGGCTGTCCAGACGTTGCTTAGCTTGTGAGCTACAATGAATTTAAAAAATCCTGCACATTCTCTTTCAGGAGAGAATCCAGCTCCACTCCTAGTTTTCCAATTCTAGTTCCAGGGAACCAACTGGATAAATGTACACACACACTCTTTTATATTGATAGACCCTGTGCAATGCATTATGAAGTCAGTATTCTAAGCATCTCTAACATCGCTGAGATACAGGAAAAATAAATAAATCAAGGGCTGTTAGTTTTTAAATCATAAGTTTTTGTTTCAAAAGATACATCGTAGATTATCTTGTTAATAAAATCTCTTGCATTCTAAAAGGAAAATAAATAATTTCATTTCATTGTAAATACGATCTGGGTTGGGATATTTTGAAAGGTCTATTATAAATTCTGCTGATAGAGAACATCCACTGTGGCTCTTCTATTGAAACCCTCCTTGGTGTGATGCCATTAGTTATATGGAGGGAAGTAACAAAAAGCTCCATGAAACTCATCATCGTGGCAAGTCTAAGTATGTGATTAAGCACCTTCTTCATTATACTTATATTAAGCAGTATCCTCTTCATGGGGCCTCTAAAAAACAGTCAGTATTGCTGATCTCATAAGAACCAAAAAGACTTGTACTTTCCCTGGGACCATTCATTCATGTAACAAATATCTACTGAGCACCTTTTATGTGACAGGCATGGCATGAGGCTAGGCATGGCATGAGGCTAAGCCTGGCACTAGCACAGAGTCCATGCCCTCAGGCCAGGGGCACTGAATTGTGTAACTGATGAGGTTTCCCATTTATGAGGTTAGAACCCTTGGTAGCAAATCTTTGGCCCAGTCAGTAGCAATTTTTTAGGACTTTGAGGTATATATTTTCACGCCCCACTCCTGGCTTCACATTATGTCTTTTGTTCCACCTTTTAATTTAGGCTGCCTTGTTTTTATATTTTAAGCTGTCTTAATTTTTTTTCTGGACCAAGTAAACAAAAAATATGTAAATAAGACAATATACACATATTTTATTTTTGCTCTGATTATTACAAGTATATTTTGTTTTTTAAAAATCCTCAAAACTTAAGAATTTAATTATAATTTTTGCCATTCATACTTTAATGATATATAAAAATATAAATGCTATGCAAAGTAGTTTGTTTTACTAATTTTTTCTTTTTAACCTACTTTTTTTCAGTTCATTAACACCTCAAGATTTTTCAAGGAGACTTAGCAAGGTAAAAAGGAGGATTTACAGCATCACTTAGGGCTAGTTTCAAGGTCAATAGCTAGAAGCCTTAGCAGGACCTAAGAGTTTTTGCTCAGTAGACAGTTTAATATATTTTTGGTAGCAGAGAAGGGAGAAGAAAGAAATATAGAGTCATGGGTACAATATCTAAAAAGATTTGAATAAATGTAAAAAAATATGTAAGCTCTTAGCTCACAGCATTCCATGTTCTTAAAGCATGGCACCAGTCCTTGGGAGAATCTCAGTCTATGTGTCAGGGATATAGTAGATGCTCAATAAATAACCACTGAATAAATAAATTAATCTACATTAGTGCCTTGTTACTGAATCATAGATATATCTACATTACATATAGTATTGTATTCATATATACAAGGTATTAGAAAGAACAATCTTGTTGGGGATGTCATAAAATGATAAATGATCACGAGATGCAGTTTGATTTTTATCAACAGCAGTGATTATATTTTATATCACAAATGACATAAGTTAAAAATGAAATACATCACTATCAATACAATCTACTGATCTCCCATTCTTTAATCCATTTTACAATACAGAGATTACATTTTAATAGATATTGCAAGATATACCATAGTATCAATTATCCCTTAGGCTTTAAAGCAATATGGCTTATGTACCAGGCTTAAAAGACTGAGCCAAAGTGTTTACCAAAAGTGTTTACCAGCTGCCTCAAAACTGATTCCAGGGTAAATTTGAAAAATTTGAAATCTGAACAGCATATAAAAGCATAATGTCTATGTTCCTAACAGTTAATTTATTTGCTGTTAAGTAGTTCTTCAACCAACATCCTCTGTTTCTGTCCACAGTAGTTATCTCAAGCAGGAATGGTAAGACAAGCAGGATCATATATCTTTATCGTTTCATCCCAAGAACAGTCAGCCACCTACAGAACAAAAACAAAATAAAAAGAAACATATTTAGATATACAAAAAAATGGCAGCCAAAGCCTAAGTCATTTAGAGTGTAGTAGATCATCCACCAATAAACATTTCTTTAATAGGAAACAGGAAAAATACAGGGATAGGTTTTTGATAAAAGGTCTATTTTCCCTTTTAAAGATATACTTCAGAGCCTGTTTCCCATTCACTGAATTTACCTATATCCCTACCCTACCTGACAGCTACATAATTCTCTACTTCCTGAGATAAATGGCTTAGGCACCAGGCTTATGTATAAAGGCACAAAAACAAGGATTTGTTCCTAGATTGTGAACCAAGACACTGTGCTAGGTAGTGTGGGGACAAAGAGGAAGATGAAGTACAGTTCTTGCATTCTAAAACCACTCATTTAAGACCGAGCATGAAAAGTGCACTCATAGAGACTCCTAGAGAAGGGACTATATGAATCCAACTGGGGCAATGTCAGAAGACTTCACAATGCTGTGGCATTCCCACTGGCCCTCTGTAGGAGGCAGACAAGGGAGACAAGGACCTTCAAGTCTAAAAAGCCATATAAAAACATGAAGGGAAGAAAGTCCATGGTGTTCAGGAATTGTGTGTGAAAAAATTAGTAAGTATAGCAATGTCTCAGAGTATAAGATTAATACATAAAAATCAACTATATTTCTATATAGCAGAAATTTTTTAAAAAATATTTAAAACTCCATTTACAATAGAATCAAATAACAAAATACCTGATAATAAATTTAACAAAAGACATGTAAAACATCTATTCTAAAAGCTAAAAAGTGCTGTTGAAATTAAAGAAGGCCTAAATAAATAGCAAGACATACTATGTTCATAAATTGAAGACTCAATATTGTTAAGAAGTTAATTCTCCCCAAAATAATCAAAATAATTTATAAATAATTCATAATCCCAGCAGGATTTTTAATATAAATGGACAGGGTGATTTTTAAAATTTATGTGGAAATACAGAGGACCTAGAATAGTCAAAAGAATTTTGAAAAAGAACAACAAAGCTGTACTACTTACACTAGCAGACTTCAAACTTAGCATAAAACTACAGTAATCAAGACAGTGCAATATCTGTGTAAGAACATATAAGTAGACCAAAGGAACAGAACAGAGTTCAAGAACAGACCGCACACCTGGACAACCGGTTTTCAACAAAGTTACAGAAACAATTCAATAGGGAAAGGGAAGTCTTTTCAATAAATGTTGCAAGAACAAACAACTGGATACCTGTATGGAAAAAAAGGAATCTTGACCCCCAAATCTTTCACACCATAAAATTCACTTGAGGGCCGGCCCGGTGGCGCACTGCTATAGTGCGCCGCTTGGGAAGCGCGGCAGCGCTCCCGCCGAGGGTTCGGATCCCACATACAGACCGGTTCCCGCTCACTGGCTGAGCGAGGCGCCGGGGCGCGCC